GTTAAGATATAAATTTAATAGTGTAAAATAAACTGGATCAAATATTTTGTTAAAAAATTAATCACTATGTGACTACAATTCTCATAGTTAGAATTCTAAAATTTTGGTATTTAACTTTACTGAAAAAATTTCGAAGGTCCAGAGTTCGAATCCTAGACAAAGTCATTTTTTTTATATGCACTGATAGAGGAAATTGTTATTTTTTAATAAACTTTATTAGTATAATATATTTAATAGTTTTAGAATATTTATTAGTAGTTACACGACAAAAAAGTTATAGGAAATATTACAATTGTAACATCGTAATCTAGGACTAGACTTTCAATACGGTCACTTTGATAATTTCACATTTAAAAATGTACGATGTTACATTGTTAAAATGCCTATAAAAGTAGGAAATATACGAATTTTTGTATACGAAATCGGTAGTCTGCTTTGAGAACGAAACTTGGCGCCAAACTCTACCTATTCTTTTGATCCGAATAATTGTAATAAGTTACAGAATTTTTTCAGCAGTAAAAATAATTAGTGTATCGTATCTTTATTATAAAAATTTTTTGGCACTATTTGTTTATAAATGATCTTCACATCTTACTATAACGCTAAGAAGAAATATTCATTTCAAAAAAATTAATCAACTAAGAAAGAATATTTGCTAACTATCAATAATTGTACTTTTGTTCAAGAAAAATATTTATTAATATATAATAAAAAAATATTTAGTTATATTTAATAAATAAACAAATTGTCTCCAAATTAACTAATTTATTAACAGTTAATAAATTTTTCTATCAGTGTATAATTTTATAATTGTAAATTTACGATTTTAACTTCGTTAAATTTTTCCATAGAAACCCTCGAGTTCCCTGCAAGAGTGGTGTCCTATCAGGAATCGATTTCAGCAAGTGGGCCGAGTTCCCAACGAGTCACGTGACTCAATACGTGAGTAGCTTTGCAGAATTCAATCAGTGGGCAAAGTAACTCTAGAACACGTAAAAATAAATTAGAAAAATCATTAAAAGTATGCACCAGCAGAGCAATAAAGTAAGCTTCCAGAATTATCCATAAATAAAAAAAAAAATATTCTTAATGTGTCATAAGTACATTTAAATTTAATTTAATAATATAATGATACTATGATGTCAGAGATTAATTACCGATTACGTATTTTCCACAAGATTTATTACAATAACAAAAAGTAATTCTCAGTAGCAATTAAGCTATTATTTTGTGACGTAGAGATATTTTTTAAGTATATTATTACTCACTAACTACACAGAAAAAAATATATCTTCGCTTATCAAATATATTGTTGGTTCAAGAAAACTTTTAGGAAACTGACGAATATCTTGGTTCAAGTAAATTATTTTCATTAAAAAGTTACAAATGATTCAATAAAGTTAAATTATTTTTCAGGAAATTTTTTTTTTTTTTTCTATTTAAATCTCTCGAAACAAGAGGTATATTTAACTTACTCCAAAAGAATATAATTAAAATCTCAAAGATGATGTTCTTGGCTTTAAAGAATCCGATAGCAACGCTGCCTTTAAATCGCTGCCAAAAAAAATATTTCAACAGATTAGAGTCAAGTACTCGATCGTTTTGTTGGCGACGAATTGGTATCACTCTTTTTCCATAGCAAATACCGATCAGGTTTCAAGTCCGGTCTCGGGTTAAATTTATATTATTTTTAGTTCAGAAAAAAAAAAAATATTCCCAACCTAACAAAATTTATATGATTGAGATCACTAGTTACTTCTTCAACTCAGATAATTATTTCTTAAATTTTCAAGTTTTGTACTTTTTAATGAAAATCAAGTTAACCTTTTTTTCTATGTGAAGGTAAATCGTCAGAAGTTAATCAAACTTTCAATTTGTATTGACCCATTGTAAATATACTACTAACATTTGTACCTAGAAAAGTTTTTTGGTAATATGTATTTTTATACTTTATGTAAATAAATAATAAAGATTTTTATGCTTTGTAGATCCAGCTTTTTTTATCTTTACATAATTATTATTTTATGCTTTAATAATTAAAAAATTTTCTCAGGAAAATTTACCGGAATTAAATCAGAAGAATTTGATTAAGAATTATATTTTTGGTGGGAAAAATCGAAGAAAAAGATCTTCGAATATTGATAATAAAAAGTCGTACACGAAAGTGTTCAAAGATTGTAATAAACCAGAAGCTTCTAAACTCGTTAATTCACACCCACAATTGAAATACGACCGGATTATTGTATCTGATTACCGAAATAATGATGATGATGGCAAAAAATTGACAGGTGAGACAAAAGCCGGCTCAGTTTTATTGAGAAATAAAAATTATATAAATATTCTCGAGCTACAGGCAGATAAAAACAAGAACGATCCTAAAAATAACTTTGAATTAAATAATGATAATAATAACAAAAATAATAATAATAAAATAGTGATACCATATGTCGAGGTACAAGATTATGAAAAAGGTAAGGAAAGTTTGGGCGAAGTCAGAAAAAAATTAACCAAGGAGAAACATAAAAGTGCGAGTACTCGCGGAGATATTGACAATGATGCCGTTGACCCTGGTACACCTTCAAATGAACAACAAGAGAAGGGAGCTGATGCTGGTGATGATAGTGAAAGTAAAAATCCAGATAACATGTCCGAGTATATTGACCGCAAGACGCGCGGTGACGGTGACGGTGACAGATATAAAAATCGTGATGAAAATGAGTCTGATGACGATGATGATGATGACGATTTCAAGTTCTTTGATACAACCGGTTTCGACTTTGGAAAAATCAAAGAGCCTTTTGATTTCGATAAATTTTTAAGAGACGTCTTTGATGATGATCGAGATGACGACAGCGGAGAAGAAAGGAAAAAAAATGAATCCATGGAGTCAATTTTTGATAATACATCAGCGTAAATGGGAAAATTTATTAGTAATTGTTGTTTTTTGAAAAATTTTTGTAATTTTTCTATTTTTTATAAACTTTAAGGGATTATATGCACTTAAAATTAAAAAAAAAAAAACCAACTTTTCAAAGTTCTACGTATATTTGTAAATTGAATGCCTGTTTTTCAGAAGCAGTGAGCAAAATTTTTCAAAAATGAACGAACCAATTATTCTTAAATTTTTAGACTAATTTATTAAGTGTATTTTTTAGTAATTGATCCAAGGATCAATAATTCCGATAAATGTTTTATATTGTAATAACGTATGCAAGGCTAAAATTCTTATCGAAAGAAAATCATTTTTTTGTCTGTCCGTCATTTTGATTAAAGTAGACATTTAGATCATTTCTCCGATTAATCACTAGATTATATCTTATAAATGTTTTGATTTTTAAATTTCGATGACTTAAACTGAAGATATCAGTTTAAGTTCAAATTCTGATTGAAAAATGAGAAATACGGAGAAACTGATAAGGACCATTTTTACCATTTTTATAGAAAATAAAATTTTCTACAATAAAGGTATTCTATAATTTTTTCGAATCTTCAGTATTTAAACAGAATTTTATATTTCAAGCTTTCTCAACAGTTAGCTGATCAGAGACGATTGAAATAAAATTGAAATTCTGGTTAAATGATAAGAGATAGATGAAAATTGATAGACTTTTTTGGTAGAGAATAAAATTTCCTACAAAAAAAATTATATTATTATTTTGTTATATCTTTAGTATTTAACCTAGATTTTTAAGATTCGATCATTCCGTATTGATTTTTTTACAAAAAGATCTATAATTCTTCGGTTGAAAACTGAAAATATCTTGTTCTCCGCAAGACACTTTTTTTTAAGAATTTCTCGAAGATCATCTAGAGGAGCCAGAAAAATCATTATTTGCAAAGAAAAAGGAACTTATAATTAAAGTTAAAAGTCACTACTATAAATATGTCAATTTTCACATTAATCAATTGAAAAACCTCTTCAGAATTATTAAAATCCTTTTTTCGGCCTTCTAATTGCATATAACCCCTTAAAGAAAAATGATTAAACAATTACCGATTAATTAATAAGTAAAAAAAAAAAAAACCTTACCTTATTTTTTGTAATTATAGTGACTTGAGAAAATCGCAGAATAAATATATGTATTAATTCAAGGTAGCGATTAATTATTTCTTCTCAAAACACACAACACTAACTTTCCGTCGAATAGAAGCGTATAATAAATTGAATATTGTAGCGTAATTAAATGTCTCGCTCAGTGAGACATTTCCTTCGAGAGTGGCCAGGAAATCGAAGAATCGAATTAGACAATCATAGAAATATAATTATAGATCTATCAGGTTTTTCCAAGATTTTTCGGTATAAAAGCCTCAGCATCCAAAATGGATTCGTCAGTCAACATTCGTCAAACAATAGATCCATTCACTTCAACCAACTGAAACTTAGTCGGTAAGTCTTGATTCAGATTCTGAAATCTGAAATGTATGATATATAATTATATAAATAATAATAATTATTGATGATTATTACAAAGATCGGTTTATAAATAGAATGTATGATCGTTATAAATCAGTATCTACCGATATGGACATTGGATGCCTCAAAAAAAAGCATAAAAAAAGTCTATCCATATTAATTGAACGGCAACATACAATGGCAGGTAAATGGTAAGGTGAACACGGAAGCGATGTTGAGATTCCGGTTATAAAAGCGTGGGACAAAACGTAGTGATCATTGCTCGCGAAGAGATGTAAGAAGCTTAAGAAGATCCTTACAACTTTTATCTCGTTTTATTATTACAGTTTTTTTTTTTTTTTATTAATCATTAATAATTAATAATTATTTGATGTGTTTGTTTTTATAAAACTGCAGATTTTTCGGCTGCCGATTTTCGTCTTCTACAAAAAAAAAAAAAGATGTCAAATTTAACTATTTTAAATAAATTTTTAATATGACTTATAATTATGATTAATGATAACAAAGTGAAAAAAAAAAATGAATGTCAAGTGACTTGTAGATAGTTAATTATTAAAAATAATAAATGATATATTTGTATGCCTAGCCATGAAGATTTCAAATGAGTTGTGTCTATTGTTCATTGTTGGAATCATCACGATGGTTATCGCAATGCCAGCTGATGGAAATCGTATCGGTAAGAAGAAGAAATAAATTATTTTAGTGATGAGCTTTGTGTTATATTAATTGATTTATAATTATAATTAGGAACGTGCATAAGAAACTGCGCTCAGTGCAAGAAAATGTTCGGGCCGTACTTCGAGGGTCAATTGTGTGCAGACACATGCGTCAAGTTCAAGGGAAAAATGATTCCGGATTGCGAGGACGCCGACTCTATTGCACCGTTCATCGTACCACTCGAGAACGAGTAGTTTTATTTATAACTTTTAACTAAATGAATTTACTTTTTATTTTAGTTATCAGGATTTTCTTTTGTCTTGCTATATTAGCTTCGCTATTTATTTATTTATTTATTTTTTTTTGTATTGTAATGATAATTTTGATCGACGGATTTGCCTTTTTAAGTTCCTCGTTTTTAATTGTCGACGCTAAATTATAACGTAATAGCTATGCATCGTAGATAATTTATCCACGTACTTTGTTGTGATTGTGACTGTCATACGTAAATACTCAGGGAATTTATTTTAATTGTTAAGTTTTCTTTCTTTGTATTCTCAGTTGTCAGTTCTTTTTTTTCTTTTTGTGTTATAATTATTTTTTTATACGAATTCTTTTGACGATGATGAAAAATGTCTGATATGGTTGTAAGAAATATTGAATTTAATAAAATGAGTCATATTAATTATTCTTGTTATTTCTTCCTTGTTTCTGATAAAATTTTGTAACATAAATTTTGATTTTTAGATGTAATTATGAAAGTTATTCATATTTCTACGGAAATAATAATAATAATAAAATTCCTAAATAACATAAAAATGCATGTGTTGTATATATTTAGTAAATAAAAAATATTAAGTGGTAATTTAAATTAATCATAATTAAATATTGAGCGACTAAAATAATACTTTGCTGATTTAAATTTCACTGTCATTAGTGAAAAATTTTATGACGTCACGGCTATCCCAATCGCTCCCGTAAAACTGTCTAAAATTTCTTTAATTAAATGTAAAACCTAAAAAAAATGTTTCATTAGTAAACAACAAATTTCTTTTAATAAATTATAACTACAATAATGAAATATAATTTTAAAGTATTTTCAATTTGTCATAATTTTTTTTAATTGTTTACAATTTAAAGTTATTGATCAACAATTTTTATAAAAAACTAATAAATTTTCTCTGTGTAAATCAATAATTTAATTAAATACTATTGACATAAATTTTATCAATACTTAAATACTTCGCAGCTGTTATAAGTATTGTATATAATATATATATATATATATATATTTGTTGATAAATGAAACTATTAAATAGCTAGAACGAATTAATAATTTATATATCTAATATTTCCGCCTGTGTAAAAATGTTATTTAAAACAGCACGTTCTCTAATCTAAAAAAACATATTGTCGTGAGATATTACGAGCCCGTACGTATAAACTTCATATCTACACTCTATCGTCTCACGTTTGAAAATCAGCATACTCTGTTCTATTCGTTAGTCTAAGTTTTCATACCAGTTAGCTAACATGGCCAGTAAAGTCGTATCTGTTCTCTTCTCTATTATTCTAGCCACCATTTTGGTAGCTGTGAATTCTGCCAACGATGGTATCAACCGCGAAATCCAGTTCTGTGTTAATCATACAATGGAGGTTAGTAATTAAATTGAATAAAATTAAATCAAAGTTACCAATAAATTAAAAAAATAAAATAAAAATTTTCAGTGTAATCCCGAATTAAGTGAACCATGCTGTGATTCAAGTAACATTTGCAAACTAATAAACAATGTCTTCAAGACAAACACAGTCAGATTTTTCTGCTACAAAACAAGTAAAATTTTTCAAAGATTTCGAACCTAGCCTAATTTCTTCCTTCTTCTATGTTAAATACATTTATCTATTAATTACTGTAGTAAATATTGGCGAAGCGTGTGGAGATGACGACTTCGACTGCACTGAAGACAACTTTGCTCGCTGTAACAGCAAGAATATCTGCGAGTGCGACAATCGATTCACGAAAAACAACGAAACTTGCGAGCCAACTTTGTCGGCGTACTGCAAAGAGGACAATCACTGCAGAGTAGAAAATTCAAACTGTCGTGATGGTTTCTGTAATTGCAAACCCAGTTACAAACCAAACAAAGCGTCGACAAAATGTTTACCAGATTTTTTGTAAAAATTTTATTTACAAAATATTAAAAAAATTGTATTGAATTATAATTATTGCTAATTTTGTGTTGGTGAAGGCAATTGACACTCGGGAATTGTTGATAAAGTTTGTTTCATCTCAATCTGATGAATCTGAAAATAAAAAATTATCAATCAATAATTATTATAATTATTTCTTAAGCATATTTTACGGCTAGATTTATCGATTATCGACAAATTGGGAGAGGAAAAAGAATGGATAAAAGGGAAAGGGGGGACTTACTTACTGGATATCACTTTCAGTATCTTAAAAAACTTTTCTTTTTTTTTTTAAAAAAAAGAAGATTCATTAATAGTCAATAAATATTTATTGAATCATCTGATATTAATCATGATCATGACTAATATGCCTGATTAGAAAAAAAATTCAAAACGATTGACAATGCTCTCTTCATAAGAGAAGAAATTCGAAAGTATTGTAAGTATTCAGTAAGTATTCAATTCGTTTTTTTAATATTAAGAAATTCTTCTATCAGGGCATAATAAAATTACTTCGTCTGGAATTCGAACCTTGGACTTCTGAAAATTTTTTATTGTACTTAAATACCAAAATTTTAGAATTTTAACTAAGAGAACTGTAGCTACCTAGCGGTAACTTTTTAAATTTCACTAATAATTAAAAAAAAACCCTTCTATCATTCTATTACCATTATTATAAAATAATGTCCAATTAAAACTAATAAATAAACTAAATTACTTACACGCTGTCGGAGAGCTTTCTCATTAATAGCAGCTCTGGTAAGAAGCTGCTTAACTTTGTCCAGCAGTTCCGACTTATGAGCAAGCTGTTGCTTAAGAATATTAATCTCTACAGAAGTGTCTTCCTTATGCATATCCTCAAGCATTTTAATCCTCTGTTCAGCTAATTGTAAATCAGTCTCCAAAGCAATAACCCTTTTCTTGGCCTCTTCATACTGCCGCTTCAAAACAGCCATTTCTTCATCCTTCCTCTTCCCATTCCCATTCCCATCCCCTTTAAACACTGTCTTTGCAACCCCCCTATTATTCACCACTCTGTTACTATTCTTCGAGTTAACCCTCAATCTCTTGTTCTCCGCCTGAAGTTTTTCAACAATTCGCTTCAGCACAAATATCGTACGTTCCAATTCCAACGCCGACTTCTTAGAACTCTGCTCATGATCTTTCTCTGAGGAACAAGCCGAAGAATCTGGCGACTTCTCTATCTTCAGCAACTGAACATACTTCTCCAAATGCTCAACCTTTTCCTTCAACCTAGGAGTATCATTACTAACCTTCTCAATCTCCATGTGCAGTTCAAAGTTCTCGCTTTCCAACTTAATATTCTTCTTTTCCAACGCGGACTTAGCAGCTTCCAAAGCTTCCAATTGATCAACAACCGATAAGTTACCTTCAGCAGCTATTTCCAAAGCAGCGATCCTCCTTTTCTGCTGTTCAAGCAACCCACCCAGTCTTTGGCAGTCTTCAGTTTCTAACCTATCAGTCAATTCCTTAATCCTGTCCCTCAAAGTTTGGCACTCTCTCTGAAGATCTTCAATGACCCTCAGGTTAAAATCAGGTCTCGCAGTCCCACAGTCTTCTGCCTTTATTTTACTCCTCAGGAACCACTTTTCGCGTTCCATGCAAGAAACAATCGACCTCAACTTCTCATAATTAACATTAAGCTTCTTAATCTCCGCCTCCTTGTCCTTCAACTCTCGCTTCAGTTTTTCCGACAACCCTTGCCACTTTTTTTGCTTTTCCCACAAAGAAAGCTCTTCAGCAGTTTTGATCCTCTTATTTTCCTGGAACCTGTACTCTCTATCGAGCTGAACTCTCGCTTTGTTTAACTCTTCCTCCATCGACTTCAGCTTTTTCTCCAACTGTGCCTCTCGCATCGACGTTTTTCTTTCCTCACTTTTCTCAGCCATGTATCTGCGACTCAACTGTTGCTTCAAATCAATAATCTGTTCCTTGTACATCTTCTCTTTCTCCGCAAAAGACTTGTGCTGCTTTTTCAACAAATCTAACTCAGAATGGCCCTGGCTCTGAGGATTTTCACCAGTGCGGTTCAATTCTGTGCGATCATAACTGTGATTCACATTTGAATCATTATTGAATTTATTAGACTGCTGCGATGATGGAGTTTGATGATGCACAAATTCAATCATCTCGAATTCGCTTTGAAGCTGCTGATAAGCCACCGTCAGCTCTTCTATCTTGTTATCTCTTTCCTGGAGCTCTTTTGTCAGCGTGATATTCCCTTTGGTTAATTTGATCCTATTATCCGACAACTGTTGACGCAAAGCGCTAGTTTCCAATTGCCATTTGTCTATTTCACGGCGATAACTATCTAATTCATTCTTATGTTGCAATTCTAGCTTGCTGCGAATCTCATCTACATGCTCGAGTCTTTCTTCTGCTAACCTTCGCCATCTTTCATTCAATTGACTGGCAATCTCCAGGTCCGCTTGCAAATTCGAAACCTGTTCGGTCAAACGAACTATTTTATCTTCTGAATCAATATCAAATTTCGGTTTAGTGTCTTTCAATTCATTTATCAAGTCTGATTGATCCATCTTATCTTGCTCGTTTTTCATCCCATCTATCTGCAAGTTTAACTTATTGATTTGTTCCTGTAGTCGAGCAGTCGCTTTGTTATACTCATCCCGTTCCTCTTTAAGAAGATTCTGATATCGCAAAATCGTTTCTTCCTTCTGGCTGATTATCTTCTGCAAGCTATTGGTCGTCGATTTAAGAGTCACTTTCTCCGTAGCTTCTTCACTTTCAATATTTTCTGAAGATTTTCTAGCAATAACCCGTTTTTGTTCTATCAACTCACTGTCTTTGTCTTCTAACGAGCGATTCAGAGCATTAATTTTCGCCTGGTACTCCGTAATCTGTGACTCATATCTGATCAACTTTGCAGAGCGATCTGACGCCAAAGTCAAAGCTTCTTTCAGTTGATTTTCCAAAAACTCTGGAACTTTTTCTTCTGCATTTGCTGTTTTATTCAACTCAACTTCTTTTTTTGACTCTTTATTGAAATTAAGATCAGTTTGAATGCCAATCACTCTAGTGCAAACATCAATTTGAGTTGAAATCGATTTTTTCTCCATCACTTTTTCATTTTTTTCCGTCTGAGATTTTTCGACCAACGACTTAACCGGGAATTCTTCGCTCTTTTTCTCAGTAAGCTTTTCAAGATTCTTTCGAGGACTTTTTATCCCAAGATTGTCAAAATTCTTCCAAGCTTTTTGATTGCTAACCATTTCAATCTCCATTTCTACTATAATACCTTCATACTCGCTCAACTTATTGATTTGCACTTGCAGCTCATTTTCCAGCTGACAAATCTTTCTTTTGTATCTGTATTCATTCAAAGTGCTCTGCGAATTATCTGAAAATGTCTTGATAACATCTTCAACATTCGCACTCCCGATTTGCTGTTCCAAAATATCCTTTAGCCGCTCCACAATTTCAAGTCTATTGGTCAAAGTTTCCTGCTGCATTCTGGCCTTTTCAAGAGTCTCTTTAGCTTCCTTGAGCTGTCTTTCAACCTCAGCTCTATTTCTTTTCAAATCAGCCACCAGATCTTCGTACCTTAGCAGTGAAGTCGCAGAAGTTGATCCCGAGTACTGATTCCTCAAAAAGTCAATAATCAATTCGTAATTTCTGGACTTTTTATCACAGTAATTCCGATGCTCCTCCAACCGCGACTGAATTTCAGAATACTTCTCCTCAGAAACTTCAAAATCCTTCTTAGCTCGCGCAACTTCGTTCTCCAATTGAGCTTTGTAGATGTTAGTTTCCATTTCTACAGCCTTGCAAGTGTTAAGTTCAAATCCTAACCTAGCAATCGTCTCCTTGTCTTCACTGACTGCCTGCAAGTCGACTATCTGGTGCCTCAGATTATCAACTTCGAATATTTTCAATGAATTCGTTAAATAATGCTTCTGCGCTTCGTCTCTAGAAATCTCCAAACTCTTCATCAAATTGTTATTTTCATTTCTTAGCTTTAAAATTTCTTCCTTCATTTCAAATGGATTTTTATCACCAATTTTGCTTTCACACTCGCAGTTTGATTTTATTTTTTCTGCAAGCAAAGTCTGAACGCTAGCCAACTGTTCCTGCAACTCGGCATTGATTTTTTCAACACCCTTAAAATCTTTCTCATTCACGCTCAACTGAACTTCGTACAACACTCGATAGCGCAAGTGCAGCTGGTTGTACTTTTTATTCAATTCATCGAAGTCGTCGCGGCTGACAGTATTCACGAAATTCTTCTCTAATTTGGTCACCTTTTGTTCCAGTAATTTTGCGCCTTTCTCCAAATCAGCGATGGTTTTTTTGTAAGCGCTTTCACTGGCAATCGTCTCCTTCTTAAAAAAATACATTTTCTGCAGCTCGTCGTTTAGCAAAGACTCCAGAAGCTTAATTTTCCTGGAAGTTATTTTCTGAGACGTCATCAATTCTGTGAACTCTTTGGTGCGAATCGCAAAAGCCTGATTTATTTCATCCTCGCTAGATCCGAAGACTTTTAAATCGTTTTCGTAAATCTTTAATTGGGTTTCCAGCTTTTCTTTCAATTCCGTCAGATCACTAATTTTCTGGGTGAGAGTTTCTTTTTCTTTTAGCCATTCGTCGAAATCATTTTCATAGCGTGTTTGGATCTTTTCCATCTCCAACGCGTACACTTTGGCTTCTTCAGTCTCAGATTCTTCGGAATTTGTAACACTGTTCTGGTAGTCATGCTTTAAGGCTACTTTTTTTAAGATATTGTCTTTTTTCTGGATCTCTTTTCTGAAACAAAAAAGTAAATTCCTGTTCAAAAATTGAATGATATTGAAATCAGCAAATAGTATATTACATACCTAGGCCAGTAAAATAAGAAAAGTCTCAGATCACATGTAATTGTTGGCCGAGGCGAAGCCGAGGTTGACAAACATGTGATCTGAGGCTTTACTTTTTACTGGCCAAGGTGTGTATACTATTTTTCTGCTCGACGTA